TCTTGAGCCACACGCGAAGTGTGGAAGTGCAGGTCACCGCTGCAAGACTGTACCAGGGAAGTGTGCCAGAAGTGTTACATCTTGACAACAACAACAACAGCAACAACAACAACATCAAGAGCTGAGGACGTTTGGGATGCATGGTCATTCTTTAAGCTCTTGGACCTGGACCAGGGTGGTGCGGTTTCTGTGGATGAGTTCTTGATGGGGTGCCTGCGATTCCGGGGAGCTGCTCGTGCTATGGATGTGTGTCGTCCGCACTAGTCATCTCAACTCCACACCTTGCTGGCCTGAACTGCATTAGAGCTGGCAAGCCAGGTCGGCAAGCTGCTCCACGACCAGAACTGGCTTATCAAGGCGCAGAGCCGTTTCCAAGGGCATGCAGAGGCGGGCTCATGACTCATCTTGGGTGGGCTTCCAGCACGAGGGCCGCACGGGCCGGACCGAAGGTTTCTAGGAACGCGTCATTGCAGGTCTCGGCATTGCAAATTGCAACGTCTGCGCAGATAGCGTAAGTACTGATTGCGAAGCTGGCCGCAGCAGTCTCATAGAGCCTGTGTCAGTCGTTGATTTCATGGGCAGGTGGCGTTTCAAGAGTTGAAGATGCAGATGAACATGCTGATCGATGCCATGCAGGGAGAATCTTGGGTATGAAAACGAAGGGCCAGGCTGTTTTCAGGAAGTCCTTGGCACAGCCCGAAGATGTAGAAGCTTTAAACCCCATGCACAACCCATGTACCACCGAGGAGGGCACCGGGGAGTATGTCCGTCCAGCCTCAACGGGTGGCTCTGCGCGGTCCAACGTCAGTAACACGTCTTTGCAAATTCCCAATTGAGGGAGCAGTGAGGCGGATGCCGCATCCCGCGGCCGAATTCTTTTCCGGATGTTCCTTCAGGTTTCGGTGCCCTGGCAAAACCAGAGAGCCCGCTTGCATCCAGCGCGGTAAGTCTGAGCCGTGCTTCCCGAGAAATACGGGTCAAATGTTGCAATTGCAACGGCAACATCGTGCAGTCGTGCGCATACGGAAAAAACATGAACAGGAATGGTGCCCCGATACCGTTCGCAATGTGTTTCGCGATTCTGCCCGCAAAGAACCTCAGCCTTTCATCGTGGCATATCGTGGCTATGCGCCAGCATTTTGCGACATCGACAGGATTCGGAAATGTGACTCGCTTCGGCTACACAGTCGTGCTTCTGCCAGGCACGGCTCATGGAGTTCTTTGCGGTCACACGAAAAGGTGTCCAGCTGTGAGCCCCCTTTCTTTCCATGGTTTGGGATTCAGATTGATGGAGTAAGTTCCATGGAATTGAGGTTCCTGACTTGCAAGACAGCGATTCGGTAGTTATGTTCTCGTGCAGATCCTGCCTTCGCATTATAACAACAAACAAATGCTCGCTCCGGCTCGACATCAGCTTTTTGTCCGCATGCTTGGGTCTAGACAGGACGGTGCCGGGTAAGTCTATTTTTCCGACCAGCGCTGCCCAGCCCGGCAGCCCGATCTGAAGATTCCACGGGGCCCGCGAAGCAAAATTGGCTTCCTTTCAGGACCTGACATCCACAGCACTCCTTGACTGACATGTTGTAGCACAGACAGTGGTAGCAGGCCTGGAATCGCTTCCGTGTGAAGCCATGGGACCTTTCCCCGATCCGCCGCCAAAGGTGCGGAACCTTGTAATTAAGCAAAACTCATGAGGGCATGTTCGAGTCGTTGTGTGAATTTGAGCAGGAGCAGAACCCGGAGGATTCAGCTTGAGCCCTCGTCGATCTGTAAGCCTGCCGTGACGCGCAGGTGCCGGATGTCCCAGTCCCTCCGCCGTGGTCCACCCCCACACCGCCGCCCGTTCAGCCTACCCCTACTGCAAGGCTTGCACTTGTGATGTCCACTGCTATCGAAGTGTTCATCTGCACCCACTCTCAAGAGATTTCCTTCAGGGCACCGTCTCCACAACGGAGACCAGATCCTGTCGGCGCCAGCGCCTGGTCGGGGTGCCACCGGCACAGCTTGCTGCGAGCTTGCGTGGTTTGTGGTACAGACTTCTGCAGGTATCAGCCAAATGTGGCAGCAGCGCCGTTCGAGCCGCGTCTGGGAAGGTGGGCGATGAAGAGTCTCATATTTGCGAGGTTTATTGGAGGTAGCGGTGTTCATCGAGATAGTGTCACTCGCTGACTAATGCATGCCGCGCTCGTGTCGAAGTGGACTTCGTCGGGGTGATAGGTATAGTATTGCAGTCGCTAGCGCAGTCGCTAGCATTGTGCTCCGGTTGCATCAACGCTTCGAGGTCGCAGTCTTACGCAGACCGAGGCAGGGAACCTGATCTGTTCTCACATGCCCTCCCTTCCTGTGCATTTGCTAACATCCTGACCTGGTAGATTCAGCAAGAAGTCACAAGCTGCATGTCTATGTTCTGGCGTTCGTTGCAATCTCTGAACTAGCAGCCGTTCCCAATGGATCGAAGGCAATTTCGCCCGTCGTGAGGCCTCAGCCGCTCGGTCGAAACTGTTACTACGTTTAATCGTACGAGCTGGCAGATGACAGACAAGCACCTTGCCAGGAAGTTGCCGCGGTTGGTCTTACGGCACATTCTGTCCAAACAGAGCAACGCTGCGTCATGCCAAGGTGCCGGTCACATTTAGACACATCCCCTGCTACTTGCATGCAATCGCGCCTTCATGCTGCGACAGATGCGCCTTTGGGATGATGAAGTGGGGCGCCGTTGGTGAAGCGAAGCCCTTCAAAAGCCGGATGGCTCAGGTCATTTGGAGGAAGCCGTGAGTGAAATGCTTCCCGATTTGCACCTGGACTGCAATGATATACGGTCTGCTGCGCAAACTTCGCATGGCAAAGACATGAACAGGTGACAGGGGGCTCGACACTTCAGTGCAGATGCGAAAATCACGAACGCTGGCTTGTTCCGAGCTTGCAGAACTCGGCATCAGGGTGTGATAGAGCAACGGGTAAGGGCATGACAGAAGGCTCCCTGAGGTATACAAGCAGCCAAGACAATTGCTGGACCACAAGGTTCAGTGCACAGATATATACATATTGCATGTATATGTCTATATATATATATATATAGATACACATGTATGTGTGTGGCTGATTTAGATCACCATCGGTGAGCTGCAGCTCGTGGAACCACCGGAACATGTGTCACAATCTTTACCTGATGTTGCGAGAGCAGCGCTCGAAAGACCGCCCAATGCATGCCTCCGTATCTGCACGCCCAGCCATACCATGGGAGGAGCATGTACAGGGAATGAGTATGTACAGAGTATGTACCAGCATGCAGTTGCCTTTGCATGGGTTCACGGAGGGATTTGACGTGTTTTAGATGTCGCGTTGCCTTTTGCAGTCGAGCACTCTGCAACTTTGGTTTACTTGTCGCCTTGGCAGTGCTAGGCTCGTGTAAGAGACAGACGCAGTTGATTGAGCCTGCACCGTCAAAGGAAATATCCAAGACACGATGGAACCTGGGATGGCCTTTTCGTGGACTGCACCTTCGGAAGAGGCCTTCCAAAACGCATTTCACGTGGTCACAGACAGCTGCATAGCTGGTGTTCAGTCGCTTTTGAAATGCCTTTCTCCCGCAGAACTTGTTAGCTCTCATTCCGAAGATCTCTGTTTCGGCGCGTCTCTGTGGTCGAATCGCGTTTCTCAACCCAAGGCGGCCCTTGAAGAGCTGAAAAGTCAAAGGCACGTTGTCACAGGCTCGAAACCCTTGCAGGACTCGAACTCGACTCGGCGCAAGAATTGAAACCTGGAGTGCGATAACATGCAGAGTCGTCTCTCGCTCCTGACGCCCTTTGACAAGATTCTGCTTGTGACAGGCGGAATTGGGAAGTGCGCGCGAGAGAGAGAGGGAGAGAGAGTGCGGCCATACGCTGTAAAGCCGAGCCTGGGGCGGCAAACCCCCCACCAGGATATTACGAACCCTGCCATGGACCGCAGGGGCGCGTTCGCGCGCGGGGTGTGGGGTCGGACTGCCCTGCACCTCTTACCTGGTAGAGCGAGAGCGAGAGAGAGAGTGTGCGCGCGGGGTGTGGGGGGGACCTTCCCACACCTCTTACGAGAGAGCAGAGAGAGAGAGAGAGAGAGAGAGAGAGAGAGAGAGAGAGAGAGAGAGAGCATTTTGGCTCAAGTCGTCTGCCGGGGCTCTCCCTTCTGGGGGGTCTGCTCAGCAACGGCCCTTTGGGCTTGGGGGGCTTCCCTCCGGGCCTGGGGGTGGACGCGTGCTTGAGCGGGGGCGGCTTGAGGCCATCCGTCGAAGCCGTTTGGCTGCAGTGGCCCCACTACTGAAGGCCGGCCCGTGCAGCCATCAAGCTCACCGTGAAGAATACAGCACTTTGCGTGTCCGCCTTCGACGCTGTCGCCGGGGAGTTCGGTGACTTCGTAACACGACGACGACACCCTCACATACAACAGGGACAGCCTTTGAGGGGATCTCTCCTTCGAAGCATGACGACCGGGGAACCATCTCC